GAAATGTATTTTCATTATATAATCAAAACTCGGGATGTCATGTTCCGATACAGACCAAAAATCATAAATGACATATTACAAGCCATACAACAGTTATATACTTATACAGGTTCATAAACAAAACAACTTGATGATTCATCTATCTTATGCCCTCGCGCCACTCCCTGTAATACAAATAAATTGAGTGGGTCAGGCTTGGGAGCCTGGTGAGCATATAGGGTTTTCAACCCACAATAAAAAATTATATTTAATTTCATCAACCAACAATAACCCGATTACCCATTCCCGTTATCCTCACTTTACGTCCCTAAAACAACATCTATTACCAGGGACCTAATATAGGATATTAGTCGGGACGGACATTACTGCAAGGCGTTTCCTCAACAATAGGTGTCCTAAAGGCAACCATGAGGGGGATAGAGTACACCGGTGAACACATCGTTCACAACACCTACAGGTTATGAACCTGCTAGCGTTCCACAAGACTGTCTAGAAAGAGTCTGTGGTCGTCATCCATACTCCGCTAGATGACTAGGTCAACAACAACAACATCGAGGCCTCTCATCAGTTTATTACACATGAACTATCTACCTAAGTTCTACCCAACATTTTGTAGATAACAATATACATATGCATACATATGCAACTTAAAAACTGATAAGATATTCATTTAATACTCGTTCCAAATACAACAGATTCATTCCAAGTAACAGATAATATATATCTATATACACATAGCACGTATTCACTCGGAGATACTTTATATCTATGTGTTAAAAGAAAAGGAATATACAATCACTTGATCAGAAGATGATCAGACAACACTACGGCTTGTAGAAGTAGTATTCTTCGGTAGATCTGGACGATCTTCACAAAAACCAGGCTCCTCACGGGCAGAGCTTCGGCTCGGAAACTCTTTTCTTCTCAGGATCTTCGGGCTTCGGGACCCGCTTCGGGTCTCGGGAATGATACCGAGGCTTCAGGGGGTTAAAATAGGGCTTAGAGAGAGTATCGGGAGTGGGAGAGTAAGAGATGAGCACCCAAACTCGGTTGACCCTCGATTTCTATTTATAGGGTGAATTTTCTGAGTTTACCTCGTGAGTTTCTAATATTCACCTCGTGAACTATTGTTCATACAGTGTCAGTTCATACAACATATAAAGAGGCATTTTGTTTCTATAGGTTTTTGTCAATTATGTATGGTTATGTGATAAACCATCGCCATTGGATTGAAGATATGTGAGACGTTGCACTTGAACAAGATGATCCTAATAATCACGGTTAAATATTGGTGGATGTTGATGGTGACACTGGGCTCACTACTTTAGGTATTATAAAACATGTCAATGCTAAAAATGTAACTTATTTGTAACAATCGATTCATCATCTTGCAAAATCAAAGGAGAATAGGTCTTTAAAGGAGCAGATGATTATTAAGGGAGAAGCTAAAGATCTTCCTTTAAAATAGATTATGCGAATAGAATTTGTGTTAGTTGGAAGGTATAACCTCTAAATGTCCATTCAGATGTGTTTTTCTTGGCAGCTTCTTCCTTTAAAATAGTAAGCATATAGTTAGTTGATTGAGGACGTATTTGGATGTGTGATTAAACTGATTAGTGAGACAATTAAGTGTTTAGATACAGTGATTATATGATTTCTTAGTTGGCAAAAACAAAAGGATTTTAATAATCTAGGAAAGAATTGACAAAATAAAGATGATTATTGAGATATGTGTAAAATTGACCAATTATCCATAGCTTGAAGCAACTGATTATCCAATGTCGATTCTACAAGTCATGGGAAAAGCAATTGGAATTTTAAAAGTGATTTTTGTTTGATGCAAGAAACTTGTAGTCCACCCTTTCAAAACCAGTGATCCTTATGTCATCATCAAACTCGGAGATCGACTTATCTTTAAAATATATAATTACTTACCTGCTTCAAATCATCATTGAACTCCAACATTTGGTTAACTTGGTTCCATGTAATGTTGTAGTTATAGACAACAAAGACGAAGGATATAGATAGTTGATTGAATAATGTTTGGAATAAAGAGATGACTTTCTCTCTTGTAGAACCTGTTCAAGTTCTAAACTTGGTAAATTCTAAATTTCTAAACTTCAATCTGCATTTATATGGCTATATTCTTAAAGATTGTGGTTTTACTTTGTGACATGAAGTATTTGAAAAAGGCGTTTTTAAGGTTGATGATATGATTAGGCATGCTCATGTGAAATAAGAGACAAAGAAACATCCCGAAAGGAAGAAAAAGGGAAATTTCTAGTTCTCTCTCTTTTAAATTCAATGCACATGCACCTACATTTGTCCAAAGTTTGTAGTCCTAGATTATTGTTCCAGTCATGTTGATGTTGGGGTAAGTTCTCAAAGTACCATTAACATCCTCCTTGATGTATTTTTTGGGAGAATTTCATATATGCCCTTCCTAAACATCAAAATATCATATTTACCCAACTTAATTTCTAAATATCATATTTACCCTTTATAAAATTTCTAAATATCATATTTACCCTTCATAAAATTTCAAAATATCATATATCTCATTTTTAAACATCAAAATATCATATATACCCTTCTTAAATATCAAAATATCGTATATGTACATTTTAAACATCAAAATATCAATGGTAGTATCTAAAATAACTTATATCTACAACATGATAATAATCAACAACAACAAAAACTAGGCAATCAAAACATATATTCTATATAGAGGGTTGAAGATGAATTTTTTTTGTTTGTCATGAGGGCGACATTCCAACAATTTAGAAGTTCACATTCCATTATCATAGACGTAAGGATAGTATGGTTAATATTTTTAATTATTATAATAATTTTAAGGTATAAAGAGTGATTATAAAATATTAAAAACATTATAAACAAGGATTTGGGCAAATATGATATTTTAAAGGTTTATGAAGGGTAAATATGATATTGAGAAATTAAGTTGGGCAAATATGATATTTTGAAGTTTAAGAAGGACATATATGAAATTCTCCCTACCTTTTTCATCTATTCAAAAATAAAGTTGGAATGTTCATATTAATTTAAATAAATGTTTTAATCATGTATGTTGAAATTGAGCTTTGCATGCCAATATTCTTGTATCCAGGTACTTGTTGAGATAACTGTAATTTGATTCTTTTGTTGCTTCCAAAGACCAACAGTCGGGTCATATTTGGAGAAGTGTAATATCATATTAATACTCCAATTAATCAATTGTTGATTTTTAAAGAATGAATTCTGATTCTTAAATACTTAAGAATGGTTGATGGTGGTGGTTTACGGTGATGAAGTCTTGATGGAAGCATTTAAATGTAAATATATGTTGTAATTGATATCGATCGGAGAAAGTGGAAACTTTTTAGATATTATATTCTTCATTTGTATTAAAAACTTGTGGTGTTATATGCTAGAACACTATATTCTACAAGCATGGTTGCAGTTGTATAAAACAGTTGTGGTACTACAAAATTATCACTTTAATTCTTAAAGAATTTTTCAATTGCGTAAACAATAATATCCAAATAATTAAATGTGTTAAACCATCTTTACCCATAAATTCTACAATAATGTTGTTAATTTAAATCAATTGTTGGCGCAAAATTCTAGAAGAATATTTTATTCGTTGTTAAGTGATTCTTAACCCTCACTCCTTAAAAATCAAGTTAAGGTTCAAGATTTTACAATATATTCTTAATGAATTTTTTATTAGTGTTTCATTAAATAAAACATTTGATAAATTTTCTAGGAAATGTACATGCAAATTTATATTACATTTTATCAATTAGTTAGACTTACTTGCCTAAAATGTATATAATTTTCATTTCTCTCTCTTAATAATATGTTATATATGCACTTATCATTAATTAAGTGTAATTATATAGTAAAATGTTATTATGCACCCCAAAATCATAAACCTTCATTCTTTTAATCTGATAGTCATAATTTGATAGATTCACACAATACTTGTGATTTATATATATATATATATATATATATATATATATATATATATATATATATATATATATATATATATATATAGTCCGGTTTCGGTAAGGACATCTTAAAAAATTTTTAAAAAATACAAATCATAAAATCGAACATAACATTATATTGGAGAGAAAACATGGATTGCATGTGTTTTCTCCAGTAACAGAGGTAGCGGTGTCAATCGCCGGAGGTTAGTGGTGATGGTGACCGAAGGCTAGAGGTAATGGTAGTCTGAAGTAATTTTCCAATGGCTAAATACAAATGGCCCACATATTTAATAAATAATATTTTTAATGGATTAGTAATTAATAATTAACAAATACTCAAAAATAAATAAATAAGGGCAAAACTGTATTTTTATGTCTAGAATGATGAAATGTGCAAGTATTAAACAAACGAAGAACATTCCAAGTTAATTTTTGAAAATATGAACTAAACGTGTTTTCTGATATATATGCACAATTTATCCTAAAAGTAACAGCAAAAACAATTTTATGATTGAAAAGTTGTGTTTATACATACGATTTTAATCACATATGACAAATATTTATGATTATAATAAATGTTAATCATATATAATTTAAAACACTATTTATAAAATCCAAGCGTTATTATCATAACAGATTATAATTACATGTGATTATAACATATCTTAATCATATATGACTTATAAATGTAAACCTAATTTTGTTTTTGATAATCAGATAAAATTAAATGATTATGGATTTAACAATCCAATCCACAATTCATTTAGTCCATATACAATTATATATAAATATCGATATGTTTCCTATAATCATATGTAATTATTATAACTTGTACTCACCTAATTTTGTTTTTGATAATCAGATAAAATTAAATGATTATGGATTTAACAAACTAATCCATAATCCATTTAATCCATATACGATTATATATAAATATCGATATGTTTCCTATAATCATATGTAATTATTATAACTTGTAATCATACATGAGTATAATCATTTAATAATATGTGATTATCTATAAATATCAATATGTTGTATTTGTATAATCATATATGAATATACAAAAACATATAAATACTTATAAACAATATTCAACGAGTTAATTATAACTCGTATTAATTATATGTAACTATGAATCACATCCAAAAAGACTTTAAAATGTACAAATTACATGGAAAAGACTTTAAAATAATTATAACATAAACAATTTTTTAACACAAAATAATGTTAAATACCTTCTCCTTCACCAACATTCTTCCCTCTAAACCCTATATATAACTAAAATATGTTAATAATCATATGTGATTGTACAATATATATATATATATATATATATATATATATATATATATATATATATATATATATATATATATATATATATATATATATATATATATATATATTCGTTTTTACCTTCTCCTTCAACATTCTGTTCCTCATTATCATCACCATTTTTATCTGCTCTTTCATCAATATTCTTTTCTCCAACGCTGAATATTAGTAAAATATGTTATTAATCATATGTGATAATACAAATATATTTTTAATAATGATATCCAATTTAGAAAAATATACTAGTCTTTACCTCTTCCTTCAACATTCTCTTCTTCTTTATCATAATAACCTTTTTTACCATGTCATTCATCGATATTTTTGTCCTCCACACCTGAATTTAAGTAAAACATGTAGTTAATCAAATGTGATTTAAAAAAAAAAAAAAAAATTAATAATCATACGTTATCTATACTTTTGCCTCCTGCCACATCATCATCACAAAGTTTTTCATTATTCACACCTACCTCATTATTCTTCTCTACCTCATCTTCCTCACCACCTTCAACATTCTAACCACCTTCAATACCATCATTATACTCTTCCTCATCTTCATTACTACCTTCGATATTATCATTTTCCTTTTCTTTATTATCGTATTCATTCTCATCATCAAAAATGGTATCCAAATGGACTTTCAAATGATTCAGTGTGATATTTTCAGGAAATTTATCGATTCCCTTTTCAGTTAACAAATGTAACTTTTTATACTTCATTAGAACCATTTCTTCATAATCCTAAATCACAAATGATTGAAAGTTTATATTAGCATATATGACTAGAGATTAAGATTATTAACTATTGAGAAATTATCTTGTATAATTAAATTTACCTCCTCATTCAAATCTCTTTCAACAAACTCTTCATTAAACTCTCCAGTACCAAAATCACCCAACTCTTCTTTTTCATAACTTTCTCTCAGTTTCATCTTCTCTGACGTCCAGTGACAGATCACTGGGCGTGTTCTTTCAACTTGAATGACCTCGGAATGGACACTATCTACATAAACCAACTGCAAAAGAATAAATAGTTGTCATTACAATCATATGTGATTAAAGAAATTTATTTATAAATCACATGTGATTATAATAAATGTATTGAGATTCACATAAATAACATGTTATTATTACAATTTGGATTTTAACATAACTATAAAACACCTTAAAATCACATGTAATTGTAAATATAATAAGATTCACATATAAATTAACAATGCATGTTGATTCACTTGTGATTAAAATATTTTTCATTACAATCATATGTGATTAGAAATTTACTTTTAAATCACATGCGATTTTAGCAATTTAGATTTTAACATAACTGTAAAAAACCTAGAAAATCACATGTGATTAAAGATAACGAGATTCACATATAAATTAACATAGCATACTGATTTACATGTGATTAAAATATTTGTCATTACAAATCATATGCAATTATACAAATTTACTTTTAAATCATATGCGATTATTGCAATTTAGACTTTTAACATAAGTATAAAAATCCCTAAAAATCACGTGTGATTATAGAGATAATGAGATTCACATGTGATTAAAACATTTTTGATTATAGCAATTTAGATTTTAACATAACTATAAAAAAAACAAAACAAAACAAAAAGAACCCTAAAAATCACATGTGATTAAAGATAACGAGATTCACATATAAATTAACATGGCATACCGATTTACATGTGATTAAAACATTTGTCGTTACAAATCATATGCAATTATAAAAATTTACTTTAAATCATCTGTGATAATTGCAATTTAGAGTTTTAACATAAATATAAAATCCCTAAAAATCACGTATGATAACATAGATAATGAGATTCACATGTGATTAAAGCATAGTTAAGTAATCATATATGATTAATTGAAGAGGAGTTATTAAACATACCACTAAATAAGCAGATGGTCCAACAAAATTACTTGTCGAACTGGATGGATCATAAGATTGTTTGGTTTTAACCAAACAATCTATCAAATATGAACACCAGTCGATGTTGCTTATCTTGGTATCCTTCATGATGTATTTTAGTGGGGAAGTGTTTGCTTTTCCTGAAGAGCTTGATTCAATCAAAGAGTTGATCAACAAAGCTAAAAAATTCATTCTGAAGTTCATATCCACTTTGTTGGATGAAACAATCTTCATTTTTATCTCCTGAAGTCGAATCATGCTCTTGTTTTCAAATTGTTGTGTCCATTCCTCATACGTATTATCCTCTGTTGTTCTAAACGGAAGTTCCGAAAACTTTTTCCTTCCTAATGGAAATCCAAGGATTTGATGGACTGATTCTCTAGTCACATCAATCTTGCCTCTTTGAAGAATAATTTTCTTTGTTGTCAAATCAAACTTCTCAAGAACAAAGCAACTTAGTGCCCCCGGCACCTCTGTCATCTTCATTTTTAAAAGATCTCCAAAACCCATATCTTTTACACAATCTTTTTGAACTTCATTGAAACCTTGAATTACCGATAGCAAAGCTCCAGGGGAGCACCTATCATCAATTACAACAATTAATGAACTAAATTCATATGTGATTATAAGGATTAATGTACTTAGTATACATGTGTGATATTCGAATCACATGTGATTTAACTGAAAAACACAAAAAATAAAATCATATGCGATTGATGTTTTTGTGTTTATAAAATATGGTAATCACACATGATTATAATATGTATAATCATATGTGATTGGTATCTAAAATTGTTTTTCAAATCATATATGATTTTAATCATATATTATTAAAACATTTTTTATTATAACAGATTTTAATCATATATGATTTAAAACACAATATATATATAAAAGATGATAATCATAAAAATATACCTGTTTCTGATTGTATCAAAATGCTTCTTTATTTGCTTCTTCTTCCTTCTCTTTTTCTCCCTTGTTTCAAAATCGGAATCTTCACTTTCATGGACAAGTTTTTTTTCTGTACTTAAAACTACTGCTTGTCTCTTTTTTGAGTCTGGTTTTTCCTCTACTAATATCATAACTGTTTTGGAAATCATATGTGATGACCATATGTGTTAATACATTTATCATTAACCAACAAATTTTAATAATAATGTCTTTAAGAAAATCACAAATGATTAAACAAACTCATAATAAATAAGCATACAATGTCCAACTCAAATTCTAATCACATATGATTAAAATTATACCTTTGTCGTTTTTCCTTTTTGATATTATTTCCATTGTTTCTTCTTCACTTACTCTTTTTTCTTTCCCTTTACCTTTCCTGAGATGTATAAATGTAGATATAATCAGAAAATAAAAAATGATTAAACCAAGCCATGACAAATAAGAATCTAATTTTCATAACATAACAAATGTTAATCACATGTGATTGTATATCTCTTATATATAAAATATGTTAATCATATGTTATTAAAACATAATGTAGGATGTTTGTGTATAATCATATGTGATTGATGTATAAAGGATGTTTAGGTGTGTAAACACATGTGATTTTGTTATACCTTTGTCATGTGATTGAATATCTTTTGATAAAATATAAGATGGTAATTACAAGTAATTAATGTACAAAAGATGCGGTTAAAACAAAAGTAACTACAAAGACAAGTCCAAGGTACTACCGGAAACAACTTTACAAAGTGAGCATACCTCAAATGACTAGTGAAATCCATAACTTAAAAAATGAAGATAGAAGAGATAAGTTGAGATAGATCAGGCTCGAGCTGGAGAATCGGAAATGAGTAACGATTAATGTAAAACACCAAAGCAAGATTCGAAAATTGAAAAAGGGGGTGCAAGAGTTGAGGAGACCTACCCTCTACAAGTTGTGGGAAGGACTCGTGGGTCATTCAAACGACCCTAAGACAAGAAAGCACAAAAGATAAGAAAATATTTGAAGGAAGGAAAATGAATTTTGAAGTGCAAGGTCATCCTACACAAATATAATAAGGGAACTTTATGAAATTTTTAGTTTGTTTTTTTTACTCTATTTTTCTTGATGTAAACAATACAATTGTTTCCTAGTTTTATTTTTGATGAGTTGGAATATAAACGCATGATTGTTATCTTTATTGTATTAAAAACATTAACATGTAGTTTTTTTTTTTGGAACAGTCAACACACCTATTGTTCTACTCCTAAATCTATATACATTTTGTCCTAAGTGGGACTTGAACCCTCAACCAAAGCACCCATCCCTCAACTCATACTAGACCATAGGTCATTCGTCTTCGCAAAGATTTGGGAGGTTTGCTAAAGAGTCCTTATAAATCCCACTGCGAGTGGTGGGCATGCAAGTCGTGGGCATGGCCAACGAAGAGTTGTCACGACAAACACGACACTGATACCTACACAATTGGCACATGAAAGCTCCAACTCTAACCACGATCATGGTCGCAGGTGGGGTTGTGCAATAATGTGGTCGCTTGAAACAAGTTAGATTGCTTGGTCTATATGTCTGAGATGTAATGCAATCTCATTAGCAAACTCTTCTCTAACATCATTTGTTGCACGACCCCACCTATGACCTTGACCATGATCGCAATTGCAGCTTCCATGTGACGATTGTGTATGTATCATTGCCATGACACCTCCCTAACCTCTTTCATCGCCCCTACCTCCACATTGTATAGCGGCGTGATTTTGACGAGTCTTTATTACACCTCATGGTGTTGTGGCATTAGCTCCAATTGGATGTGTTGGGGTGTACTCCACGAAAGGGATATGAAATGTTCCATATTCCCACTCCATGTGGTCCTCCTCAGAATCTCCCGCCTTGGAGGTAGCGGAAATGTAGTTGGGACTGGAGTCTAATGGCTCCTTGGGATCTTCTTCAACATTTCTTGTCTTTAAGATAATTTGGGTGCATCTAGGGCCAGACTAAGGTGTTGGCGAATGGTCGTGGAGGTGGTGGTGGTGAATGCCTGTAGTGGTGATGGTGAATAGTGGTGGCAAATGGTGATGGTGGCGGCGATGGTGGTAGCGATGGTGGTGGTGGATGAGTGTATTTGTAACGTTTAAACTGATGAAGTGTCAAAATGGTAATCATCAACTTTCCATCCTAGTATCCTACCAAGGAATTAAATCCTTCAACATCTTGATGAATATTTTTTTTTTCATTCAGTAATCTTTTTCCCCTTCTAAAATTGAACTAAACACATGAATTCGAGGGGATTGGAATCCTTTTCCCCTAATTTCATTCATTTCCTGTCAACCAAACAGCACCTTAGTGTGTATATACAAAAATAGTTCATGATGTGTATATACAGTAGGACCTGATGCACTTAGTCTTGGTTTTAAAAAGCACAATGCGCACTTGCGCCGATGTGATTAGGATCCCAGAGGCCGATGCGCGATGCGAATACTCAAGCAACAACTAGGTGTGGCGCACAAATAGTAACTACCAAAATATGTTTACCAATGTACTAAAAACCCATAAAGATATAAAATGAAACCAAATGTAACAATCATGCAACCGAATCTAATGGTAATTAGTTAACCAGAATGCAAAATGCATGGGTTTTTTATTCTGTAGATACTATTCAAATAATTAGATCAGCCCCTGATGTGACAAAGTGTGGTTTTGTAACGTTTGCATTCTGGTTGTACGATTAAAAAAAAAGCAGATGCAGAATGCAAAATGAAACCAAAGAGCAGGACTGCGTATACGTACCCAAACACTTGCAGCATTATTGCAATGTCTATAATTGCAATAATCAGATGCTCATTGTACGATTAAAAAAAAAAGAAATAGTAAAAATCGATATCGCTAACCTCAGTTATTTGAACTTGAAAATTGAAACGAATGGAGGCTTCCTGCTGCTGTGCTGATGGAAAGTGCCGTCGATTTAGGGTATGGGCAACTGCAAGCTATCGATCGATTTGGCGTAAGGGGCAAATCGTCGTCGATATAGCGGTGAGGTGGGGGGAAGTTTTAGGTCAAATTTTTTGAGGAAAGAGCTTAGTTCTGTTTGGACCCAAAACCAAAACCCTTTGTGGTAAAAAATTTGAGGTGACAGCTCTGTTACGGACTTTTTCTTTCTCTTTATTGGGAGCCATTTAAATGTAATTTTTTTAATATATAATTTGAAACGGAAAAAAAAAGATTTTTTTTTTAATCAGCCAACCGTCCTAACATGTAACTTTTTAAATTTTCTTTTATCAAGTTTATAACCTTTTAAATACATTTCCTATTCTATAATCACGGGATGTTTGTTTAATCTTTTTGATCCAACTTTTAGACTTTAACTTTTCCAAAAAGTTAAAATGGGGTAAAAGATGTTTGGTAAATGTAAAAGATCTTTTAAAACTAACTTTAGGAGCATTTGGAAAAGTCACGAATGTGTAACTTTTTGGAACTTTTGAAGTCTTCACACTTAAATGACTCACATATACCCCCAACTACCACTACCAAACACCTTTTAAAAACAACTTTTGATTTTTGCTTCTCAAAAGTTAATACAAACACATTTTTAAAAACATCTTTTGTAAAAAGTCTTTTTACAAAAAGTCCTTTTGCAAAAAGGACTTTTGAAGGTAAAAAGATATCCCAAACACCCCCTCAAAATCATATATTTTTCTATCTTTTCCTCTCTATTTTTTAACGAAAATAAACCAAACTCAAAAATCCGATAGAAGAAAACTCTCATGTTTCTGGTTCAACAACGGCAACTAGAAACCAATTCTTCAATGTCAATTCCGACCCATCCATGAGTTAATGGGCTTAATGTCAATTCCGACCCATCCATGAGTTTGTGATGCATTTTGAGGATTCCGACCCATCCATGAGATTAAAGATGACGTGATGAAGTTTGTGATGCATTTTGAGGATTATGGCTCACTTGTCCGGGGTTGCAATTCTTCATTTATCACTCTTGCCCCTAAGATCAAGGATCCTCTTTCTCTAAATGACTACCGCCCGATTAGTCTGATCGGTTGCTTAAGCAAGATAATAAGCAAATTACTTTCCAACAGGTTGAAGCGGGTTATTGGTGACCTGATAGGCGATGTGGAGTCTGCTTACGTTGATGGAAGATTCATACTCAAGGGTCCTCTTATGGTTAACGAGGTGTGCTCATGGGCTAAGAGAGCACATGAAAAGATTCTTTTTTTTTAAAGTAGATTTTGATAAAGCATTCGACTCGGTGAACTGGCAATACCTGGACTCAACAATGGAACAAATGGGTTTTGGAAGCAAATGGAGGTCGTGGATACGTGGATGCCTGAATTCGTCCTGGGCGTCGGTAATCATCAACGGGTCGCCAACAAAAGAATTCCTTATTTCTAAAGGAGTTCGTCAAGGTGATCATCTTTCTCCTTACCTGTTCATTATCGTTATGGAAGGTTTGAATGTGGCCCTTAGGTCGGCTTGTAACAAAGGGATCTTCAAGGGTGTTCAAATCCCGGGTAATGGTCCAATCCTGTCTCACCTCTTCTATGCGGATGACACTCTGTTTATTGGGGAATGGTCAAGATCAAACCTAAAGAACCTAGCATGCATCCTTAGATGTTTCCACATTTCTTCGGGACTCAAAGTTAACTTTCATAATTCGAAAGTATTCGGAATTGGAGTTGACCCAACTGAAACGTCGAACTGGGTTAATCTTCTCGGGTGCGTTTCAGGAAACCTTCCATTTGAATACCTCGGAGTGCCGGTTGGTGCCAATATGAATTTAATAAAACATTGGAAGCCCATAATTAAGAAGTTTCGGTCTAAGCTTTCCTTGTGGAAGGCTAAATCGTTATCGTTTGGTGGAAGGCTCACATTAATCAAATCGGTTATAGGTAACCTGCCTACCTACTTTTTATCCTTATTCCGAGCTCCTGTGGGTGTAATCGAAGAAATGGAAAAGATAAGACGTACCTTTCTGTGGGGAGGTTGTGATGATAAAAAGAAAATTCATTGGGTTTCCTGGGACAAGGTCCTTGCTGCCAAAGAAGATGGGGGACTTGGAGTGGGATCAATACAGGCGTTAAACATTGGAATGCTTGTGAAATGGTGGTGGAGGCTGAACAATGAAACACATTCTTTGTGGGCTAGGGTAATATCCGGTATACATAATTTGGCAAATAAACCGATTGATTATTTATCCTCACAAAGGTACGTTGGAGTATGGAATAATATCGCCAGCTCCAAAAAGTCTCTATGTGAGCTTGGAATTGAGAACCATGATCTTTTTAATATTAGGATCATGTCAGGGAACAATACTCTGTTTTGGTATGACCATTGGCTTGGTTCCAGCAGCCTCAAATCAAAATATCCCAATTTATTTGAATTGGAATCAAAGAAAAGGTGCACTGTATCGGATAGAATTGGCGGATTGAATCAAAAATGGTTGTGGAAAGCTAGGCTGCGGTTCGGGGGATTGATTATGAAGTTAACGACCTAATTAAAGATGTCTCTAGCGTTCAATTAAACTCGGGAATAGACCATTGGAGATGTAAGCTTTCGACGGATGGTATGTACTCGGTGGGCATTATTCGACAGCTTGTAGACAAACTGAAAACCATCAACCCAGTTGCCCCTGTGATTATATGGAGTAAAGTCGTACCGATTAAGGTGATTTGTTTTGTATGGAGAGTTGTACAGCAACGTATACCAACTACTACTGTCTTGGAAATGAGGGGTATTCCGGTCAACTCAACATTATGTAGCTCATGCATTGGAAGTTCTGAATGCGCTGACCACGTGCTGATCAATTGTCCGTTTGCGAATATGATTAGGAGCAGCATTTGGAGATAGTGTGGTATTACAAGTGAGCACGAGTCTATAAAAACCACCAGTGACCTTATACACTTTGTTAGCGCATGGGGGAGGAATAAAAAGAAACGGAAACGACTTGTTGTAATCTGCTATGGCATGCTGTGGAACTTATGGCAATACAGAAACAAAAGACTATTTCACCTAGAGGGTATTTCAGTCCATAATGCAACGAAATGTATTAAGGCCATGACCTTCTATTGGGTTAAACATAGGGGCAATAAGGGTATATGTAGTTGGGAGGAATGGTTATTATCTCCATTTTATGGCTTGTAATGATGCATTTACTTGTATGTCTTTCTTATTTTGGTCCCTCTTCTAGTTCCTTGCTAGGGGAGGATTCCTTTCAATAATAATATTTGCCGTTTGAAAAAAAAAACCAATTAAATTGATTTAATTTGCATTTGAAAAGCCTCCCGAAAATTAAATTACTACAAGACAAAAGAATGACCAATCTGTGCATAAAAGGCACAGCTAATCAATTAATTTCACTAACACTTTTGGTAAATTAATATTGTTAAATATTACAATGATTGTAATATACATGTGTTTCTTTCCGTCTCATTCTATATTTATCTCATATCTAATCTACGTGTATGACCCGTTAGGCTCAGATAAAGTAGATAAACCAATTAATTTTATCAACATATTACTCCGTATGCATAAATCTTATGGAGATACACATCATTCGACCATAATAGAGCCGCAATAATATAGTTTTGAAAAAGGGACAAATTGTTTTTGGAAAGGGACAAATTGTTTGTCATGCTTATGGATGGAAAAGTCTTTTTTTCTCAACTATAAAAATGCAAAAGACAAAATTGCAAGAATGGTCCACGTGGTATGTCAAAACTAGCACCTTTGGTCCAAAATGGGTTTGGCTTGCAAGAATGGTCAAATAGTTCCGTTTTGTTGCGAGTTTGGTCCAATTTCCTATGGATTTTTTTATAATGACGGATTTGCCCTTATATTTTTATTTTCCATTTTATTTTATTATCAATAATTAAAAAGAAATTAAAAATAAAATAAAAATAAAATACTCTCTCTCCCTCTCTCTCTCTTCCTCTTTCTCTCTCTCTCTTTCTCTATCTCTCTCTCTCTCTCTACAAACAAAATTAATACAGATCTGGTAGTGGATTTGTAAAATGCAGAACCCTAACTTTTATCAATTTTTTTCAAGTCATTGTATGAAGTCGAATAGACTAAACACATACACACTCATATATGCATATGAATATCAAGAACACTCGGTTTTTCCTGAGTTCAAGAACAAGAACATCATATTCACGAACTAAGAAATCGATTTCTGATGAACTGCCATCACCACCATCGGAATCAATTTCTTCTATGAATTGCCCAACTCAAACCCATAAGCACACAAACAACTCAATAAACATAAAGATGAAGGTAAACTGCACCCCTTTTATCCCCCTCCCTGAATCGTAGACACCGTATACCCTAAATCAGTACAGGTTAAAGAGATTACGATTTACAGATGAAAGGGGTTACAATTTACAACCTATAAATGTATGTGTCCTTTCCAATTATTGAATCAAATGTCAATCATGTACCTCTCTCTTATTCTTCTCTGAATTGGTGTTTGAATCAAATGCCAATCATATCCCTCTCTCTTTGTTCTTCTCGTCACTGCTACACCTCATCACCATGCTCGTCGCATTCAGATATATTCAGTCTGTAGCTAGAGGATCTGGCGGTGGTGTGGAGATGTAACCCAGATCGATGACAACCACCTCATCGGAGGCTTAACAGCCGAGGAAAATTGATCCGAGGTGTCTTCCCCTCGATTTCCAGTCACGAAACCCTCCATCTGAAAACCCTAGCCGCCAAGAAACCCTAATCATCAAGAAACCCAAACTTCAGATCTCGATCTCCTTTCTCTCGTTGGCATCTGTCTAGGTTCAAAGGGAGGGTAGCAACGATCGAATCGGGTGTTTGGGGTGGTGCTACCTGACCGGAGGGAGGCGGAGGGGTAGCCTAGGCCGGTGACAACCACTCGTTCTTCTTCTTTGGACAGTAGTAAGCAAGAAACGAGAGAGAGAGAGGGTATTTTATTTTATTTTGTTTTATTTTTAATTATTTTTAATTGCTGGTAATAAAACAAAAATGAAAAATTAAATAATAAGGGCAAAATCGTCTTTCCAAAAAAATTCAAACCAAATTGGACCAAACCTGCAAGAAAATGAAACTTTTGGACCATTGATGTTAGCCAAAACCGTTTTAGCCCAAACATGCTAGTTTTGACATACCACA